CAAAAAAAATCCACTTACACTTCTCCTCCTCCAACCTTTCTTTTTTACCACAAAAAAAAAATATATAATAATAATAATAATAACTTTAAAAAAAAATTCTTAAATGTAGAACAGTTCCGAATTCTTAACACTATATTCTCAAATAAAATTATATGCAAAGCGCTAATTCAGCTAATGGCCACTACAATTTTTACTTTTGTCACTTAACTATAATATATATGTTTCAAAATTCATCATTATAATTTACAAAATATACATTTAAATCAACTCTCTGTTTAACATCGATTTTCTAACTGAATATTCCAAATATCTGTGTGCTAAGTCATAGAATTTAATTGAAAATGTTAGCAATTTGATTCTTGGCACACAAACACGTAGAACATAATATTTTATAAAGTTCAACAAAAAGTCACAAGTTCACCCTCGAAAGTGATAGTGTAAAGTTCAGTTAACATGACAATTGCTGAACAATCCACTATATTCTCAAATATATATACCAATCTATGTCACCATTTTGTGTTGCATTTTACAAACCAAGGCCCCCAACCATGTCTTCCATATTGAACTCACAAGGTTTGGTTCTGGCCGCAGCCATGGCTTTCTCTGCAGCTACCAAATTCTATTTGATCATTTTCGGGAGAAGCATCAAGATTCCACTACTGATAATCAAGTTCTTAAGTCTTGTTTATCTTTAGTACAAGAAAACTTCATTTTTTCTTTCTTTCTTGATTTCTTGAATTAATTATTAATAGTTTAACAAAATCCCACGTTGGCCAAATATAAGAATACTAATAACATGAGCAATTTAATCCAATAAACTAATTTGGTTCGCTTAAAGGTCAAAAGAGAGGTTTACCTCTCACAAGTCATAATATTAATGAAATGTGTATTGTTTTTCTTATGGCCAAAGCTACAGTCATTGGCCTTATTTCTCAAGGTCTGTACAATACACACACATGGGGGTGGGTGGGGTTATATTTTTCGACAATATATTTGTTACATGGGACCCATTCACTTATGCGGCTTTTTTGATTGCCTCTACATCCAAGAAATTTGGCCCTATAAAAATTCTATAAACCATACCCCTATACATATGACATTTTCCTTTTCTTGTAGGTAACAAGGAAAAGGAGAAGACGAATAAGAGGGTCCGACTTGCTGATGATGCAAAAGATTCAGGTGGGAATACGCAATTCCTGCAAATCAGATGACTTGGATTCTCAAGGATTGTGTGCAAATAATGGATTATTCAGCATGCTTTTGACTGTAGAATGTGTATTAGAGAAAAACGGAGTTACGTCGTCTTGGCTCCCTTATGTACAGTAAATACATTGAATTTTTTCTTCAAGAAATTGGAAATTTCTATTTGAGGTCTTCATTATTTGTGTTTGACTCTATTTAAAAATTATTTTTTTAAAACGTAAGATAAGACTTATTTGTATTGTTAGTAAATGAATATAATTTTAAAGATCATATAAGTATGTAAGTAAATTAAAATTGAATTTATGTGATGATCCTCCCAATTTCTTCTTTTAATATCATAAAGTACGTGACATTTTTTTTAATAATATTAAAAATGTATAAAATTGATCGAATGCTGTTGAAAAATAATGATATGAGATTTCTTAAACCTAGTTTTCTCCAAATTCATTTTCAACCATATATTCTCTCAATAAAATAATTCTTTACTTCTTTTTTTTCATACATTCTCCAAAAAATCAGTTTATATAAAACCTATAATGAAAAAAAATTATTCAAATAGTCCTATATCCTAAGGGATTTGTTTTTATAAAATAGACTAACGCCCATTTGGGAAGGTGATCAAGCAATCCCCAAGAAGATGGTTGTGGTGGTGGTATGTGAGTCGGTCACACATGTACCATTTACACTCAAACTCAAAAGAATGAGAGGATAAATGGTAGGAGATGTGAAGCTCAAAAACTGAATACAATAAAGGAAAAGCAATGTCTAGTGAAAGTGACCATAAAAAGATTGTTGATCTTCAAACTTCCAACTTTTCATCATATAGTTTGACTATCTGAGTATATCGACTACGAGTAAAGCTACTAAGGAACCTTATAATATGTATATGGGTGTTGGATCCTCATTACCTTCTCATAGACTATCTTTAATTATTGTTAGAAATCTAAATAATTGACCGAATGCCAAATAGTATGGTACAATCACAAAGGGATTCACATTCATGATCAATAACCAATGTATCAAATATGAATGATAATATAATAATTCCGGCGCACTAGTAAATCATATAATAGTATCACAACCATCAATATAACATAATGCATAAATATGTTGTTAATATACAAGAGATTATATCTAGTTCACATTCATGATCAATAACCGATGTATCAAATATGAATGATAATATAATAATTCTGGCGCACTAGTAAATCATATAATAGTATCACAACCATCAATATAACATAATGCATAAATATGTTGTTAATATACAAGAGATTATATCTAGAGAAACTAAAATAGTCTTTGAATAACATTATATAGTCAAAGCTAGGGTTGCACAGGGGACAATGGCTGATGCCAAAGGCATTGGTATCAACACAAATGAATCTGGTGGTAAATGTATATTGTACACTTATTTTGGGCATTGAATATTCATAAATACAAGTTTAAAACATGACTTCTTTTGTTTTGGCATTTATTTTATTTGTGTTTGGTTAATTACAATTTCGAACAAGAAATCAAGGTGCATGGTCATCAGGGTCGAGAAACGGGTCAAGAAAATGAAACAAGAAAATCATTTCAAGGACCAATGCTAAAAGTTTTGCAGATTACATCATGGACCCGTGCTAGCTAGCATGTGAGTTCGCCTGTTTTAAAATTGGCACCAACACATATTTTAAAAATGGTTTTTTACCTTTTGTACTTTCAATAATGCTCCTCAAAAGGGCAAATGACAGAGGAAGTTGACATGGTGGTTTTTTTTTTTTTTTCAAATCGTCCAATCATATATTGACACATGTCTCCTCTATCATTGACTTTGACAGGGTGGGTGGCAGTAGGGTTGGACAAAACTCCCGAACCGAACCGAACCCGAACCGAACCCGACGGTTCTTCTCAAATTAAATACCCGAACGGGTATTTGAATCAGGAACCGACGGGTATGGTTCGATTCTCGGATCTAAACCAATACCCGAAAAACCGAATAAAAATCGAATCTCCGTAATTTTTTTAATTAATTTATTTTAAATAAGTAAAATTATTTTATTTCTTCTAAATAAATTTGTTAACTAGTTAATTTAGTTCAAACTAAAAAATATGATTTTCCAATTTCTAATATTCATTTCAAAATCGATTTAATCAAATTGACCTCAATTTTATCCAAATCTGTTATTCTACTGTAGTGTCATTTCTACCGGAGAAAGTCGAATTAAAACTCTACAACATCTCTCTTAATTATTTTGAGCTCGCTATCTTTCTCTTTCTGTAATTTTAATAATCAAATTTATGAAGAATTCAGCAAAGATAGACGTGAAATACATAAGATTGAATTACGTTATTTTATAAGAGCTAATATTAAATATATCATTAATTAAATTAACGTAACTTTGTATATATTAAAAAATTTAATTATAATACGGAATCGAATGGAACAGAACCGGACCGAACCGAACCGAACCGAATGGAACCGAACCCGAACGGTTCCATAATTAAATTTGGACCCGACGATTCCACTTACTAAATACCCGAAAATTTCGTGTCGGTTCGGTTCTCGTTAGAACCGAACCGAATCGGACCATGTCCAGCCCTAGGTGGCAGGGTGGGGTTTTACTTTTAGATTTTCAAGTGTTTTGGTCAATTTCTAAACACTTTTAAAGATTTTAAAAAAAGGTTGTATCTATTTTTTGAATTAGAAAAGGAGTTATAAATTGAGAGTAAGACTACAACACAAGGAACTAGGGCAGAATAGGAAAATTCATTGATAGGGACGATTAAAGCTCGGTGCAAGAATTCTTTTTACTTTTTCTTCCTAAACCTGATGATGTACTATCATTTTCATTTTGTATTTTTCTCATACAATAATAATGAACTTTTTTTTTTTTAAATTATGGAAAACATTTTTGCACATAACGTTGATTTTAGTTATAATATTCTAATTTTTCTTTTATAATTTTGTTTCTTTTTTACCATGACTCTTTATGTAATTGATAATGATCAATAATTAATAATTTGTGGACATTAATGGTTCTAGAGTGAACTATTTGTCTATATCAAGTAGTAAAAACCGATAATTGCCAAGAAGATAGATATTTACTTATATGATTATTGTGATTGTTAAATAGATTTCTTGGTGGATTAATGCATTCATTTAGGCTAACAGTCACAAAGAGATTTTGTGGTTACTTAATTAAATAGAATTCATTTTTCTTGAGAGATGTTTTCAATTAATTTTGAAATATTTGACTAGATATACTTGTCAATTTATTTCGTTGCTTTGGAGGTAAAATCAATTGCTATGTGACATGTTGATCCTAGAATATTTTCTCATCAAATTAATTTTTCAAAATTGAGATTGTCCACTACAAAAACCTTGAATCAATTTTTTTTATTTTAACAATAGTTGAATAATTAAACTAATTCCATTGATATTCTTTATTTGTCAAATAGAAGTTATATTTATTAAAATCAATAACTGAGTATTATAGTTCTCATTGGACGATAATTTAAGCTCATAAGTAGTATTATTAAACTCCATTCGACGCGATCGATCGGTGTTATTAGGCTCACAAGTAGTGTTTTCAATTTGACTATTTTGAATACATTTAATTGTAGAGAACTAATTTGATTTTCCACATTTGAAGAGATATAATATTAATTTAAAGAGTCTTTTATAGCGTAATTAAAATAGAGATATAGGAAATTATACCATCCATGTTTTTTAACTTTTCAATTGAATATTCAGGAATTAAATTTATCATTTTAAAACTCGATGTATATAATAAACATCACCTCATCTCAGGTCAACAACTTACCATTTTAATCCGTTTCTTTCCCTATTTCCCAGATCCAAACCCAACGCCTCTCCACTGCTGCCTTCACACCACCGCCATCGAAGTACATACTAGGTTGCCAGCGACAGATCTAAGTGACTCCATCGACAGATCTATGAATTGATTTATTTAATTCTCTGAATTTTATCGATTATACAATTTGTTAGCGGTGATGATAAGCTTTAATCCCAGCAAATTATGAAACCTTCTTTGTGTGAGGTCTGCGAAGATACTCCATCTAAAATCTTTCTGAGCTTCTCACCTTTACACGCTGGAAAGAAAATTGCCTCAGAATCCTGCATCCTCAAGAGCCCAGTATTGAAATTTCAACAAAAAAGGGAACGGCAAGGATTGGTATGGTATGGAAGGTATAGGAAATAAGGTACGCCTATTTATTAACTTGATTTTCTGGATGCCCTTTTTCAAATTCTTTAGCCGTAATATTTTAATACAAATTACATTTCATTTTCATATATTAATTTGCTGATACTCCCTCCTTGTGTGTTCATAGAACCAAACTATTTTGCATCACCTGTCCTTTTTTTCTTTTCTTTTTGCCCCTTTCTTGGAATTAGAATATATTAACATTATATTGTGCCTGAACAAATTAGTACCTATTTTGTAGTTGTGGTAAACCGTAGCTTTCCTTTCGAATTCAATTTATCTAGGAAGAAACTATAATTGTTACAATCAGATTTTCCTAGTCAAAAGTCAAAAGTAGAATTGTCAAAATTTTAGTCAAATAAAGACTTAAATGAAGAAAATTATTTTATTGACGATATTTTGAGGGATTAAGATGGATTAAATTTAAAGTTGGGATGTAATTTTCTAATTATAGAAGTTAAGGATTTAATAATTTATTATATAAAGTTGGAGGACTTAAGAGCAATTATGGGTTAGTGTAGCAAGTGGCTATTATTAAACCATTTATCCCATTTCTCATTTCATTTCTCTCTCTCTCACACACACACAGTCTTGAAAAAAAAAACGGCAGAGGAAGAATAAAAACCAAGAATAAGGGGAAAGAAAAGAGAAAAGGAAGAAGAAAGAAAAGAAGAAAAAGGAGGAAGTCACTAAAGAGATTGAAATTTGGGTTCTCAATTTATTCTTCTATTTTGAGGTAAATTTGGATTTTATTTTCGTTGAGTTTTGTGGTAAAAGTTTAGGGTTTTAAATTTATAGCTTATACTTGAAAAATATGATAAGGAAGCTAACTATTTGAGCATTTTTGAGCTATTTATTCTAGTGGATTGAAAGAAATGATATTTAGATATTAGGGTTTTGTTATATGTGGGTCAATTCGAAAATTTGGGAAAAATTAGCATTCTTGTTATTTTCCCTTGTGATTGTTGTATGATATTAAGTTAGATTGATTGAAAATAATTTATCTTAAGCTTAGTTCTCAGTTTGGATGAATATTGAAAATATAAGAAATGAGTTTTTGATAAGATTTATGTATTTAGTTAAAAGAGAATTTAAATAAGGAATGTGGATAATTATTGTCATGAAAAGTTTGTTGAATCTTGACGAGGCAACCGGGAAAGGTTAGTATTAACGAGTTTGGGATGTAGAGTGATTCGAAAATTAGGTGAACGTATGTTTAAGTTAACCAAATGAAATAGAAATATTAAGCCCTCGTTTGGCCCCCATTTTGTGGTAATGAAAATGGGTGGAATAATATTTATTTGAAAAATGAGTGGTTGAAAAATTTCGGTTTACATGTAATATTATTTTATGAAAGATTGTGTGATTAAAAATAAAAAAGAAAAATGAAATGTAATAGAATAAAAATTAATGGAGGCCAAACAGGGGCTAAGTCTCAGCTTATTGATGGATATATATTTCATTTTGATAATAAATAGGGGTTATTATTGAGAAATCCCTTGTAATTGTATATGGATGAAATTGAAGTGGCTTATATGTATGATCATTTCAGGAGGGGATTTGGACGTGGGAACAACATACTAGCCCCGTTAGTTTAGCCTATATCTGTGAGTGAAAAACCTACTTTTCCAAAAAAAAAAAAAAAAGATTTTCTTTTTATTTTATAGAGGCATATTAATTACATGAAAAGTCCTTTTTTCGAGAAATTAGTAAATGAGCATGATTGTTTTGAAATTATCAGAAAATAATTGATATAATCATCTTACTCTAGTGCATTGAGGGGCTACAGGCGTGTGTAAGGGTAACTCTTATCCACCGAGGGGCTACGACCTTGGGTAAAGGTATCTATTATACACTGAGGGCTACAGCCCTGTATAAGGATGATTATGTTGCTTCCATCTTGTGCACCGAGAGGCTACGGTCGTATACAGAGTATTGATCAAACGGTTCATGTGCATATGATTATATAGCTTTCAGATCATTAGTAGATGTTTGCATGGATATATGTTGATATGAATTTTAAGTATATGGTAGATTATTAGCCTTCAGCTTACATTTTCCCATTTACAGTTCAGATTATGGATTTCAGATTATGATTTCATTTCATTGAATTCGTCTAATGCACTTACTCATTTTCTTGTATATAATTATATATACATACATAAAGGACAGTACAACCATATTTTAAACACTCAACTCACTGGGATTATTATCTCTTACATTTTCTTAACTTTTCCTTATAAGAGGCTGTTGACTAAGCTGTGGTAAAGGTCATATTGATTGTTTTGCAGCCACTACCACCACCAATTGTAGGTTATTTTGTTTAAAACTGTGTAATCATCAAGTGATTTGCATCATATTTGAGGATTTTTGTATTTATATGTACCAATGATCACGATGGAATATTGTAATCTAAACTGCCCTAGAATTATCCTTTTGAGAGGCAGTTATGATGCAAATGATAAAGATGTTTTTTTGGCTTGGGGAGTGAATGATAATATAATGTTGGTATATTGAAGTTCAGAAAAATTTTAGTTGGTCAAATGAAGCCTTATTATCAAAGTTTAGTTATATTTTAGTTGGCACTTATCATCGGCACACGCCATGTCTTTGAGTCTTGTAAGGAGTTCGGGATGGGATGTGTCAAGTTGGTATCAAAGCATGGTTCAAGAGTCCCTGGGATATGTTGTATTTATACTAATCTTTCAACATGTTATGCATATTGTAGGTTAAGGATGCGCACTGGCAAAGCAGGTAGGTGTCGACACTGATCACCTGAAAATCCAAATGCCCCTCTAGGAAAAGATGTCGGTGAGGCATTAGTTCATCAGACGCAAGGACTACCAACACAGGGTAATGTGGTTGGAAATGAACCCCTATTCGACAAACTCGCTACAGCCATTGCCTCTATTCTTCCCAACCCAAATAGAGATACTAGCATTGAGAGGGGAATTAAGCTCGGTCCTAAACATTTTGTGGGCATAGCTAACCTTACTGATACTGAGGAATGGATTAGGAATTTAGAAAGTGTTTTTGATGTTATGGGTTGTTCTGAGGAAAAGAAACTACGCCTTGCTACTTTCTTACTGAAAGGTGTGGTAGTTGACTGGTAATTTGCTTTTAAGATCAGGTATTGTGAAGCCAATGACATCACATGGGCTATTTTTAGAGATGCTTTCTTTGAGACCGAATATCCTCTTTCATAAAAGAATGCCAAGCAAAATGAGTTCTTGAGACTTACTCAAGGTTCAATGACTGTTTCTGAATATCATACCAAGTTTGTGGAGCTTTCGAAGTATGCATTGGTTCTAGCAAATGAGGAGAATGACAAAAGCAGACAATTTGAAGAGAACTTGAGGCCTGATATTAGGGCGATGGTGACGCGGCAGGGACATGCCAGATTTGTTCCATTAGTTGAGGCGACCTTGAGAGTTGAGGCAGCATTACAAGCAGGACAGATTTGGGGGATTCAGTTAGCTATTTGGGAAAATCAAAGCCAAACAAGAACCTCTAGTGGACAGCATAAAAAGAACAGAGGAAGATTTTGGACTAGTGTTAATGATACTGGGAGTTTTAAGTCGAGATCTCAGAGTTCTGGATCTAGTCAAGAATTTGATATTAGTCAGAACTCCATCAGCTAGCTAGTACATTATTAGTCTTCGGTTCAGGGGGTACTTTTAAATTTGACCAAGTCAAAGGTTCAAAATTCCACTTTAACTTTGAAAATTATGAATATTATCACATTGGCCTCTTGAATGGTAAAAGACAAAGATGCCTTTAAATGCATTATACAATTACAAAACAATGTATTGTTGAAAGGACTTACTACCCTTTTAGTTAATAATTGAAAATTAAACACTTCCCCACTTATAAAACTTCAAAAGGAGCTTCCAAGACAGAAAAATCTCTCATCTTTCATCTACTTCAACTTCAACTTCAACATCTCAAAAAACGTTCAAACGCTGAAGCCAGAATTTTTTTGATATCAATTACTTCAAATCGGTAAGTATATTTACACATGTTTAATTTCGTTTTCAGTAAATTAGTATACGTTTGAATTAGGGGTGGACGCGGGTCGGTTCGGTTCTCTTTAGTACCGAACCGAACCAAAATTTTCGGGTCTCTAGTAAATGGAACCGTTGGGTCCAAATATAATTATGGAATCGTTCGGGTTTGGTTCGGTTCAGTTCGGTTATGTACTATAATTATATTTTTTAACATTTATAACAACATTATATAAATACAATTAATGATACATCCAATGATTTTGGAATTCAATAGACTAGTAGACTACCTTATTCAAATGATTGCTATGGTCAAAGTTTCGGTCGATGGAGGTCGCAACTTCGATTGAAGGTCACAGCATCGGTCGACGATTGTATAGATTTTGAAACGTCAGGGAGGCTACGAGAGTGAGTATGAGAGTCTAGACAACGTTATGCACTTTAGTGTAGGTGTTTAGAGTTATTTAACGGATTGAATCTTGTTCTGCTAAGAAATGAAACAATAAAATGGGTAATGGGGCCAAAAATTAAAAAATTAGAAATGAAATAAATTATTGGGTCAAAAATTTGGATTCATAAATTGTTAATTTGTTTAGAACAAATTAAAATTAACATAATTTGATTTACTTAATAAAAAAAATAGAAATATTCGGTTCTTATTCGATTCTTCAGATCTTGGTCTAAAATCGAGAACCGAACCGTGCCCGTCGGTTCTCAATTCAGATACCCGTTCGGGTATTTAATTTGACAAGAACCGTCGGTTCGGGTTCGGGTTCGGTCGATTCGATTCAGGAGATTTGCCCAGCCCTAGTTTGACTAGAGAAATTTTATTTCAATATAGTAATAGTTAGTATAAATTTTTGTTAACAGATCTTACCTATATAAAAAAATTTGAACAGATCTATACTTTTTTTCTTTAGAACCATAGAAGAAAAAAAATTCATGTGCAAAATAGCCAAACAGTCGGCTGTTAAACAACTAAACAGTCGGCTGACTGTTGGCTATTAAACAGCCGATGGTTTGGATGTTTAACAGCCGACTATTGGCACTGATTTTTTCTTATAATTATGAAGTTGATTGAATCTATTTCCTCATGTAGATATGATAATCCCCTTCTGTTATATTGGTGATTTCGAATTGAATGAAAATAATCGGTGGGAATGGAGATGGACAAGTGACATATGTGGTTGTATTGCAATTATCATAATAGAGAGTACATCATACTCAGAAATGTATCACCATTTGCAAAATAAGCTAAATGTCGATCAATCTCAGTACGATATGCAATTGCGATATCTATTCAACAGTTATGGGGATTCATCTATTCCGATGCCATTGGTATTCGTTACTAATGATGCTGAATTGAATTATCTATTAGAATTGAATAAAATGCATCGGACTCCGACTGTTCTTGGTGTGACTTTAATTAAGAAGGATGTTATCGAAGGTGAACGCGAAAATTCAGGTAAGGCGGATAACAATGATCGAGGTTTTTGGGAGACAGTGGAGATAGTTCCTGCGGATGATGTGGTTATTCCTGAGACAGTTGCTTTTGATCGTGATGTCGCTGTTACGCATAGAATTCCATCGACAGTTGATGACAATGAGAATATAAACGAGTTTACAAATGAGAATTTGATTGCTTTATCCCAACAGAAATATGAGCCGGGTGGGAGTTTACAGGTTGGAACAAGTGTACCGTCCTCCAATTCATCCCGTGTGGCTCCCGATGATGAGGACTTGTATGTCGAGTGATGAGTTTGTTTCACTCATATTTTTGCACAATTTTAGTTTAATTAAATGCTAGATCTTGTGAGTATATAACGTTTTTGATGTGTTTATTAGTGTTGTTTTGAAGATTAGGAGAAGCGATGTGAAAAGAGGTATTAAAGTGGACGAAGAGGCAGTGCCTAAGCGCTACGAAACTGAAAAAAAGATGAAATTTGGACCCGAGAGACAGTGCCGCAACCATAGCGCCGAGGCGCTATCATCAGCGCCTAGGCGCTGCAATTGAATATCTAGGGCGCGTTTTTTTGGACCGTTTTTAAATCCATAAAAACCCTACTTCTACATAAAACGGAAGGGCAGCTGTAAATACATCTTTCTCATACTTTTGAAGGGTTCTTGACATATTGGAGAGAAGACAACAAGAAGAGAGATTTAAAAGAGAAATTCAAGAAGATTAACACCAAACAATTGAAGATTAGAAGCATTCATTGGAAGATGAAGGATATTTTGGTGCAAGAATTCTACTTTTTCTTCTAAATTTTTATTACAAATTCAGTGATGTATTCTAAGACAAATTCCTACTTTTCTTGTATTATGAGCAGCTAAATTCATTGTTTGGGGGAATAATGTAACCAATTGGGATCTTTTACATTCTGTTATTAAGACTTTCAATTTTTAATTTTTTCATGTGTTGATTTTGCTATGAGTTGAATGCATTAAATTATCTGATCAATAATTTGATGATTTTTGTGAATTCTTTGCAAATAGAGATATGAGTCTAGGATTTAGACCGTGTAGTAAAATTCAGTACATTGGTATAACGAGTAGAGATACCTATATCATTTATTGCGGTCATAATTGAATTCCTAAGACATAGAACTTGTTTAACTAAGTTGAATTTGTATAGAGATATAAAATTTAATTAGTTGAATAGGCTCAATGAGAACTCGAAAGAGGTAAATTGAATACAATAGGAGAATTTGATCGAGCACTATATTAGAATTGAGTTTTAATTTGAGATGTAAAGGTGATCAATTGGTGAAGTTATTCTACCCTAACATCGATTCATTATTTGATTCTCTAACCAGTCGTGTGAACATTCATTTATTTTCTAGAATTTAGATTAAAATCCAGATTTTACAACCTTTAATTTGTTTTAGTCAAATAGTAGTTAAAGAAAAATTGAATTAAGTGATAGAAAATAGTCCTTGTGGGATCGACAATTCGGACTCTTAGTACGGGTCGTACACTTGTGAAACAAAATTTCACAACAAATTTTTGGCGCCGTTACCGGGGATTATTTCTTCTAGTCTCAATTAATTTTTATTTTAATTGTTATTTGATTTTTTTATTTTTCCTTTATTTACGGAAAATTGTATTCATTGTATTCTCCATGCCCAAGGCGACGATCTTGAACCGTTTGATTCGGAGATACAACGTACCTTCAAACGAAGACGCAAAGAACACAAACAAAAACAGCAACGTCGAATGGCTGACAATCAACAAATCCATATTTCTATTCAACCGATTGGACAAATAACCGCAAGAGTGGCAACACCGGAATAGCAACATGAGAGAGGGAAAATAAATGAAGGTGATTTGCCAGTATCAATGTTCCTGACACCTATAGCAGCACCCATGCGCTCCAGTATTGTGCATCCAGATTTTGGGGTGAATAACTTTCAGATCAGGCCAGATTGGATTAACTTGATGAGCAACACTCTGCAATTCTACGGGCTACCTCAAGAGAATCCAAACACGCATATCTCTAGATTTCTCAGAAACTGTCAGAACTTTCATGCTCCGGGGGTCAATGAAAATGCTATTAAACTATGACTATTCCCATTTACATTGAGAGATGCTGCATTGGAGTGGTTAGATGTTGAGCCTCACACCAGCATTACTACATGGGAAGAACTAACCAGGAAGTTCTATAATAAAATTTTCCCACCAACGAGGGTAGTTAAAATCAGATTGGAAATTCAAACTTTTCAACAGAAAGAGGGAGAAAGCTATCGCGAAGCATGTAATAGGTTTAATCAGATGATGAGAAAATGCCCAAACCATGGAATTACTATAGGTAATCAAGTGCAATACTTCTACACTGGACTTATATCGCTGTCAAAATCTCAAGTTGATGCCTCAGTTGGAGGATCAATTATAGGAAAATTTGTGTAGCAAATCATGAAACTGTTTGAGTTGATTGCCACTATACATTCAATGTTCTCATCGAAAAGAGTGGTGCCACCGAAGATAGGAGGAATGTATGAGTTAGACAGCACAGCAGCTACCAACACCCTAATAGTAGCATTGACAAAACAAGTGGAGTTATTGGTGAAATCACAAACGAAAGGAGCACATGCAGTGACCGTTGGTCCATCATGCGAGAACTGCGGGGCTAATCATCTGAAAGAAAATCGCACATCTATAGGCTATCTCGACGAACAAGTCAATTTCATTCAGAATGGGTTTCGAAATTTTAATCCATTTGCTCAAACGTACAACCCAGGATGGAGACAATACCCAAACTTCAGATGGTCGGATAATCAACAAGGGAACAGTTCAAATAATGCCCAACAGGAGAAAAAACCAAGTTTGGGGGAGATGTTCAACCAGTACATACAGAAGATTGACAAGGTATTTTAGTAGATTGACACTAACTTTCAGAATCAGCAAGCATCAATCAAGAAGTTGGAAACACAAATTGGTCAGATAGCTTAATAGCTTGCAGAACGCCCACAAGGGACATTGCCAGGCAATACAATGGTCAATCTAAAAGAGCAAGTGCAAGCTATTACTACCAGGAGTGGGGTGCAACTTTCAGAAATACATGTAAAGAGACTAGAGCAAAAAGAAAAGGAAATAATGGGTAAAGAGGTTGGGAAAGAAGTAGAATTTGAACAACCAACTGATAAGGAGAACGAAAGAAAAGAAACACCTGCAGTGAGCGCTCCCAACCCCGTGAAGGCTTATGTGCCACCAATTTTCTTCCCTCAAAGGTTACAAAGAAAGAAGTTGGATAATCAGTTTGCCAAGTTTGTGAAGATTTTCAAGAAACTGCACATTAATATTCCTTTTGTAGACGCAATTGCCCAAATGCCCAGCTATGCAAAATTATTGAAAGAGATCCTATCTAACAAAAGGAAGCTAAAAGAACATGAGGCAGTATGCTTGAATGAGGAGTGTCGTTCAATACTATTGAGAAAGCTACCTCCTAAACTAAAAGACCCAGGGAGTTTCACTATATCGTGCACAATTGGTTCTAATTTCTTTGAACATTCTTTATGTGATTTAGGTGCCAGTGTTAATTTGATGCCTCTCTCTGTCTACAAGTCTCTTGGATTAGGAGACACAAAACCTACAACAATCTATTTGCAACTAGCCGACATATTGATCAAACGACCAAAGGGAATTATTGAAGATGTGCTAGACAAAGTTGACAAATTTATTTTTCTGGCTGATTTCATTATTTTGGACATGGAAGAGGACTCAAATATTCCTTTGATCTTGGGAAGACCCTTCTTGGCTACTGTGAGAGCATTGATTGATGTTTATGATGAAAAAATGATTATTTGAGTGGACAATGAGTAAGTGATATTCAACGTGTTCAAGGCAATGAAACACCCATTGACTTCCGAAACTTGCTGCCAAGTTGATGTTCTTGAAAAGCTTGTGGCGGACACATTTGATATAGAGCATCACACAAATCTTTGTAAGGCAGAACTTGCTCAATTGGAAGCAACAAATGCAGGAAAAGCTGAATGTGTTGTCAACTTAGCCGAACAACCCATAGGAAGAAGGCATTGGCAGTATGAATCTCTAGGTGACAACCCTTCTCCCTCGGTACCCTCAGTGGAAAAGGCATCCATTCTTGAACTAAAGCCCTTATTTTTCCATCTTCGTTATGCATATTTGGGAGAATCTTCAACACTGCCAGTAATCATTGCAAATGACATGACAAAAGAAGAGGAGAATAAATTGTTGGAGGTACTCAGACAGCACAAAATGGCAATTGGATGGACAATAGCTGACATAAGAGGGATCAGTCCAATTCTTTGCATGCACAAGATTTTAATGGAGGAAGGGTCAAGGGCATCAGTGGAAGGACAACGCTGATTGAATCCAACCTTGAAAGAAGTTGTGCGAAAAGAAGTGCTGAAATTACTGGATGCAGGAATAATTTATCCTATATCTGATAGTTTGTGGGTGAGTCCTGTACATGTTGTCCCTAAAAAGGGTGGAATCACAGTGGAGAAGAACGAGAACAATGAGCTATATCAACATGGTTAGTGACAGAGTGGAGGGTATGCATAGATTATAGAAAGCTAAATAATGCAATCAGAAATGACCATTTTCCATTGTCATTCATTGATCAGATGTTGGAAAGGTTGGCAGGACATTTTCATTATTGCTTTCTGGACGGATATTCAGGGTACAATCAGATAGTAATTGCTTCAGAAGACCAAGAGAAGACAACCTTCACATGCCCTTATGGAACGTTTGCGTTTAGAAAAATGCCTTTTGGTTTATACAATGCACCAGCAACCTTTCAACGATGCATGATGATCATCTTTTCTGACATGGTAGAAAAGTACATTGAGGTTTTTATGGACGATTTTTCTGTGTTTGGAGATTCCTTTGATGATTGTTTGGAGTGGTTGGCTCTTGTATTGCAAAGATGAGAAGAGAAGAACCTTGTGCTTAATTGGGAAAAATGTCATTTCATGGTAAAGGAAGGAATAGTACTGGGACATCGAATTTCTACATAGGGAATTGAAGTGGACAAAGCCAAAATACAGGTGATTAAGAAATTGCAAACACCTAATTCAACAAAGGGGATTATGAGTTTTCTGGGACATGCAGGGTTTTATAGAAGATTCATTCAAGACTTTGCAAAAATTACAAAACCGTTGTGTAACCTGCTGGAGAAAGATATACCATTTCAATTTTCTGATGAGTGTTTGAAAGCCTTCATCACTTTGAAAGAAAAATTGACATCGGCACCTGTGGTAGTGGCTCCAGATTGGGAATTGCCTTTTGAGTTCATGTGTGACGCCAGTGACTTTGCAGTGGGGGCAGTGCTTGGACAACGCAACAGAAAAGTATTTCATGTTATCTACTACGCTAGCAAAACTTTGAATGATGCTCAAATCAACTATGCAATAACTAAAAAGGAATTGCTTGCAGTTTTTTTGCTTTTGACAAATCCAGTTCTTATTTGATTGGGTCCAAGGTGATAGTTTATACAGACCATGCAGCTCTGAAGTATTTGTTTGAGAAGAAGGACGCGAAACCAAGGCTAATTCGCTGGGTGCTATTACTACAAGAATTTGACATTGAGATTCATGATAAAAAAAGGAACAGAAAATCAGGTAGCGGATCACTTATCAAGGATAGAGCAATAGCAGGATTCAGATGATATGAATATTAATGAGGTTTTCCCAGATGAACAGTTACTACAAGTAGAAAAAACTCCATGGTGTGCAGGCA